CGAGTCTCTTGATAAACAGTCTGTAATCAGAATCATGGAGTATCCTTATCGTATCTTCGCGTGAACGAAGGATTGATCGTACTACAGGCCAATTCCAAGCCAGTGCGTCCTTAGAGCTTAGTACTTGAGCGTCTTTCAATAAAGGTGTCGTTGAAGATTCTCTACGTAACCAATGTCTACTGGACGGTCGTTGGCGTCGTGGCAAAGTTGGTCTCAACCAAGTACCAGCTCGTAACATTCGATCGAGAAAGAGACTCGTAGGTGATGGTCGACGACGCATCATCGTATGCATCCGTCCTAAGATCGTTACAGCGGCAAGAGCTTGATGCTTACCAGCACTTGCATGTTCCAATAAGTTTGGCAAAGGTGGCGTCAGATCACACACTTCTGAAGGTAGCAGGGAATGTGCTAAATGCAGTAATGCTCCTAATAGTACTGCTGCACGTACGGAAATAAAGGTATCCGAAGAAACGATTGTTTCTGCGAGTGCTCTGTGTAATCCACATTCTAATAAAGCATACACTAATAATGCTAAATGTATTTCCGTTATGTTCGGCCAACAAGATGAAAGAGATGGTAATATAAATTTTCCCTCAGCTGCAACAAAACCTTCAGATAATTTCCACGAATCTCGCGTTCTGCCAGGATCGACTGCAGCCAATGCAACGTCTGGTTCGTCAGTCCACGTTGGCAGAGGTAAATCCAATAATTCATAAAGTAATTCCAAAACAGCTCCGCGAACTTCAAGCTGTTCAACGTATAAGATATCTGCTATAGCTTTAAGGCCAGAATTATCAGTAGGACAGCAAAAATGTAAAACACCTGGATAAGACCGTAGTATACTCAATAATGCCATCTTACTTGCTGCAAATTTTTGATCTCGTTCCTCTTTTGTTCTTTCTGAACTTGAAGAGTGAAGTTCACAATACGGTGCTGCGAAACATAAAAGGGAAACGCTCCCTCTTGTATCAGGATTATTTAATAATTTTAACAAAACCCCCACAACAGATTCGACGATCGAAGGGCTTTGTCCAGTCATAGCTGCTCGCGCAAGAGCGCTAACTCCACCACAACTTATTAACAAATTTGTATTTAAGATTCCTAACTCGCATAGAGTAGCTAAAAATACTCTGAATGCACGATCTCTTTCCTCTATGCCTCCATTAGTTAAACTTATAAGAGATCTGGCTAAGATAGGGCTGAAATGTTTAGGAGCTAAAGCTAAAATTCTTCTAACGAGTCTAAGAGCCTGCATTCTTTCCATTTCATTCCGTAGATTAACATCCATACTACGTGCCACAAAATATGGATATTGCAATTTATTAATAGCAATAACATCTTGTTCCTTCTTAAGCATATACCTTACAGCGCGTAATGCTGCTGCACGTACTTGGGTTGCTTCTTGTACAAGACCCACACGCATACTAAAAGAGAATAATTTTTTAAGTGAAATAATAATTCGAATATTAATGCGAAATTATAAAATTCTATTACCAACAAAATTGTGTATTCTTACCAACAAAACAGATCGTCCATTGAGTAACCATAATCAGATAAATCATTTTCACTAATTAATTTAACAATAGCATTAAGATAAGCTAGCTTCTTTACACTTGGTACATTGTGTCGTTGACAAAGATTAGTTAAAACTTCTTTTACATTTTCTTTCAATCCTACAAAAAAAAAAAAATAATTTCTAATGTTATTTAATTATTTTCAAAAAAGAACGATAAAAAAAGAATGAAAAAATAAAATAATAATAAAAAGAAAAGGAAAAAAAGAAAATCAGAAAGAAAAAGAAATAAGATTAATTCATCTGACGCATAATGTAATAATTTCTTAAAATAATTCTTATTAATTCTAATAAAAGAGTATGATCTATACAATGAATATAAATCTTATAACAAACTTCGTAAATTCGAAATATGACGACGTAGTGCGTATGCAGTATTTCTAAATAAATTAACTATTATAACGACGTCGTCAAAACAATTAGATTTAAAAATATTCTTTCTGATAAAAAAGAAAACAGAAAAAAAAAATATATATATATATATAATAAAATAAAATAAATTAAAACGGATTAATCTTGTATACGTTAGAAGAAACATTGCAAGTTACTCATACATTTGAGTTAAAAATAAGAGTGCATTTCCATTCGTTTGTAAAATTTATTGAATCTATAAACTTTTAGGTTAAGCCTCTAACCTCTTGACAGATCGAGTTGCACACTACTGTCTTCGTTATCTCGCCGACCTATGAGACAAAAGAAATTGTAATTATTAAAGTTATAAAAAAAAATCGTAATAAATTTTGAAAATGAATAAAAAGGTCACACATAAATATTTAACGTACTTCGATGAGATCTGCTTGCTCGTAGAGTCCAGATCAAATAACTAGAGATTGCCATTTCTTAGCCGGCTGCTACCCACGATCACAATTAACACTCTTCGTCCGACCGTTGCCACGTGCCTTTTTCACGAAATATGTCATTCTCACGGTTCGACTTTACGTACGAAACACTAAGAATAATTTATTGATAAAAATCAAGTAATAGAGAACACGAGCGAAATGTCACTCTCTCACACGAAAGAACTCGTTTGCACTATCGTCAATTCTCGCGACGTAGACCACCGCGGTAACTTCTCTTTTGCCAAAATTATAGATGTCCCAGTCGATTCGCAAAACTTTAACCTCCTTGTATCTCTCGTGTAACAGCGTTACCAACCGGTACACTTAGAGAACTATGTATCTAATAAGAAAACAAAAATTTTATTATTTCATATTTGTTTGTGTAGTTTCACTTTGAGAGGACAAAAAAGAAAAAAGGAGAGAAAAAGAAAAAGAAAAAGAAAGCAAAGACGCCATCGAATACAACCGCTCCCACGATTTTACGAACTTCCTTCTGTTAATAACAATAATCGAAGTGCGCCTTAGATTTTCGTAGAAATTTCAGTGCAAATAACTTTTTTTTTTTTACTTTCTTTCTTTCTTTTTCCTCCCTTTTCTTTCCTTTTATTACGTGCAGTAACTTCTTGCTATAACTTTGTCGCTTGTCATTTCTCAAATTTTATTAAATACTACGTAATTTTACGTCGCAAATACAAATTACAATACTTGTACTTGCCGTTATACGAACGTGCGATATTTGATGCACGTAATTGCTAAATGATCTAATATATTTTTTTAATCTTCTAGCGAAAAAGTTTTTATGTTCATCTATTTATTTTTTTCCATATAATATTTAGTAAAAAATAAAAAATAAAAAAAAAAAAAAAAAAAAAAAAAAGAAAAACAAAGTGAAAATTTTAAAACAAAAAAAAATAAAAAATAACGTATTCGCAATTTTTAAACGATGTGAAGTATGCTGTTGTACAAATGACAGCGACCTCGATTGTTGTTTTCGTGAACTATACATCGATATATCGATATATCGATGTTCTATGAACATACTCCGAATCTATAGTATATATTACAATTATAAGAAGCAGACTAGTTTTTGACAATAGTCGAAGAAATTTAATTTTTACAAGAAAGTATATTGAAAGAAATGGCTTACATAGTGGATAATCTCGTTCAACCAAATATGAATGCGACATCCGATAATCTAGTTCCAGATTGGCTTCGTTCTGAACAAAGTACTGGTGTAAGTTTTGAAAAATGTTATTTCATTTGTAATTAGAGGTTAGAATGACAGTGCAAAGTTATAAAAATATTCTTAAATTACTCTTACTCTTTTTATATAATTTTGTTTTGGAATTAAATAGAATTTATATCATACAATTCAAGTACTTTCATTTTATTATATTTCGTAAGAGCAAAAAAATTATAGTGTATGGAATTATTATAATCAAATTGTTTTGTTACTTACTATAATATTTTTTATTGTAGACTTCTATTATGGCTGTAGAATTCGATGGAGGTGTTGTGATAGGTGCAGATTCACGAGCTACCACAGGGTATTATGTTTTCAATTAAATTGTTTACATATTATGTTTTTTATTTTTTTATTTTTTTATTTTTTAATTTTTTTTTTTTTTTTTTTTAAGTTAACTATAATTTTAAACAATTAATTTCAGAGCATATATAAGCAATCGTTTTGCCGATAAATTGACCAGAGTCACAGATTATATTTATTGTTGTCGTTCTGGTTCTGCTGCAGATACTCAAGCTATTGCAGATATCGTTGAATATCATTTAGGTTTGCATAGGTAAAAATTCACTCTTTAATTCGTATATTCCTTATTCTATATTCTATGAATTTTAATTGAAATTATTTAGGATGGAACTTGGAACACAACCATTGGTAGAAACAGCTGCCAATGTATTTCGTGAAATGTGCTATAATTATAGAGATTCCTTGATGGCAGGAATTTTAGTAGCTGGATGGGATAATCAAAAAGGAGGTCAAGTTTATAGCATTCCTTTAGGAGGCATGTGTATTCGACAGCCCATTGCTATCGGTGGTTCAGGTTCTTCATACGTTTATGGCTACGTAGATGCACACTATAAACCCAATATGACAAAGGACGAATGTGTTACCTTGGTACAAAATAGTGAGTATAAAAAGATTTAAAAGATAGATACATTCGATTGTAAATTTATTTAAATAAATTATGATGAAAATATCTTTGCAGCATTGGCACTGGCTATGTCTCGTGATGGTAGCAGTGGTGGTGTTATACGTCTTGGTGTAATCACGAATAAAGGAATCGAAAGAAAAGTGATTATGGGTGATAAACTACCTCGCTTCTATGAAGGCTAAACATATTTCCATAATAATGAAATTTAAGATATACATATTTATCTGAAATAATACATTATTCAAAAGATATTGAATTTTTGGTAAATAAATATGAATTTAAGAATATTTGTTGTAATTACGTATGTAAATCAAATGAAATGAATAATCCTCATGGTCTATTTCGTTACATCATAAAGAATTTTAAATACTTTTTATGAAGTAATCAATGATTACAAAAATTTGTCGAATAAGTTACTTTTTATGAATATATTTACTTTCAATAATTATGTTTTGTTAATCGTCGGATGAACACTTGTAAGTATCACATTAACTAATCTTTGATGTTGAAAACTCGTAACAGGAAGACTAGGCTCGAATCGTGGTCCTCAATCTGACCAAATACATATCCGTACTGTTACTTCTAAATTTAGGTCGTATTATCCACTTGCGATACTCACGAATATATACCCCCTGTCGTTTAAACGTATGTACTTAATTCTCATTGTTCGCTTAACGAGAAAATTGTCGCAATGGCACAATCGCAATATATGTAATAACGCCTGTATGTAAAACGCCAATGTATGTAAGTCACACAAGCGCTTTTGGATTATTCCGGACTCGTGATACATGGTAGTATGTCTTTGCCAAAGGATGGATTAGGTTTCTTCCATTATTTCAAGAGCTTAGTGTTTTGACAATATTAAGAGAATTTGATTGATTTTGTTATTATTTGGTCAAACATTATTTCCTTATTAATATTCGAAAATCAAGAATGTTATCATCAAAAATATGAATATCGTTTTTCAATAAGAAATAATATTTATGGAAAAGGTATTGTTAAAGAGAAAGAGTACAGTATATTACAATCTTGGTCAAAGTTAAAGAGATAAGTAACTACATATTAAAAGATTATCTCTCTGTGAAGAGAGAAAACAAAAGAAAAGAAATTTGTTCGAACGTACAGGAACGCCAAAAAGGCGTTATCAAATCGTCGAAATACCGTTCTGTAAGAAGATGACCTCGGAAGACAACTCGGATGATCTTTTGACGAATTGGGTTCCGGAAATGCCGACGGTCCAAGAAATTAACAAGTCCATGCAAAACTTTGCTATCCCGGACTATATCGTTTTCGTCTTGATGCTTTTAGTTTCTGCTTTTGTTGGTATTTATTTTGGTTTCGTAAAAAAGATCTCAGGCGAGGATGAATATTTGGTTGGTGGTAGAAACATGAAGACATTTCCGATCAGTTTGAGTCTGATAGCCAGTTTTATATCAGGTAGAATATTAGCAAACATTTTTTTATCTTGATTCTCATCCATTCTATATCAATGTGTTAATTATTGTGTACACAATCTGTATACATGTTGTTTCTTAGGTATCTCTTTATTGGGTATACCAACCGAGGTTTATGTTTATGGGACTACATATCTTTTTATCTCTTTTGGATTGATCATTACGGGCTTTATCATGTCGAAAGTATTTTTACCAGTTTTTCATGATTTGAAAATCACTAGCACGTATGAGTACCTTGAAAGGCGTTTTGATAAAAAAATCCGATTATTAGGATCCTTCCTCTTTTCCATCAGTATGGTAAGTAATATGCATATTTTGTAGTAATATAAGTAAATGATAATTGATAATTGATTAATTCTTGTATATTGATATCATATAGATAGTTTATCTACCTATCGTCATCTATGTACCAGCATTAGCTTTTAATCAAGGTGCGTATAATCATTAATTAAAATGTTTGAATGAAATATTTTTTTGTTTGATCCATTTATCATTTTTAGTAACCGGAATCAATGTCCATATCATCACACCTTTTGTATGCATTGTTTGTATTTTTTATACTTGTATGGTAAGAATTAAAATTTTTTTTATCATTGAGAATCTTGTTCATATCGATTATGTTTAGATTATGTTGCTTATAGGGTGGATTAAGAGCAGTGGTTTGGGCCGATTTCATTCAAGTTCTCGTAATGTTCGGATCAATGCTTTTGATCACGATCAAAGGCACTTCGGATATTGGTGGATTATCGGTTGTATTAAGAAGAAATCGGGACTCTGATAGACTCGAATTTCCAGCGTTCGTATTTCGAAATTTCCAATTTTATAGAGCTTAATATATACCTAGATATATTAAAAAGATACATTTATCTTCTATCAAATAAAATAGATTCGATTGGAGTCCTACGACAAGACACACAATTTGGTCACTTGTAATTGGGGGATTTGTTCACTGGTTGCAGAGCTTGGCAGTCAGTCAAAACACAATACAGCTTTATCTCGCTTTACCTACTTTGCATTTGGCTAGAAGGTGCTCACAAAATTTTTAATGAAATCATATTTTTCCACTCTAATTTAGAATAGTACAAATAGCTACTTGTTGATTTTAGGGCACTTTGGTATTTCATTATAGGAGTTTCATTAATCGTGGGAACATGTGGATATGCAGGCATGTTAATATATGCTTGGTATTATGAATGTGATCCATTGACAACAAAAGTAATGGAATTCTTGCCATTTTTACATTTATTATTCTATTCAATTTCTTTCAATAATTCATTGATCAATTAATTATAGCTGGCTGGTACAAAGGATCAGCTTTTACCACTTTTAGTTATGAACGTTTTGGGAGATTATCCTGGATTACCTGGCTTATTTGTTGCTGGAGTATTCAGTGCTGCTCTCAGGTATTACAGATGAATTAACAATGAATTAAATATTTTAACAATGATAATACATTCCAATAATTTATAGTTCTTTATCAACTGGTTTGAACTCTATGGCAGCGGTCGTATTAGAAGATTTTATTAAGCCATTTCGTAAAACAGGATTTACTCCTAGAGTTGCTGATATTTTCATGAAACTTACTGTCATCATCGTTGGAGCAATTTGTGTGGCTCTCGCTTTTGTCGTCGAAAAAACTGGATTGCATGTTTTGCAGGTAAAGAATCAATGAAAAATATACTTAATATATTTTGAGAAATATTTCGAGTAATAAATAAATGTGTATGATGATAGAATTTCTTTTTCTAATTCGTGATAAAGCTATCTGTCAGTCTAAATTCTATAACCAATGGTCCATCTCTTGGTATTTTTACTATGGGGGTTCTATTGCCTTGGGTAAATGCAAAGGTATTTTTGATATTGTTATTACAATATTTCTTAGAAATATATTTTATCTATTTCATCCATTTATAATAATCTTAGGGTGCTCTTATTGGCGGTTTAGCTGGTTGTGGTTTTATGGGTTGGATCACTTTAACAGCTCAAACAGCTATAGCTAGTGGAAAAATGAAGTGAGTTATTTTTCCTATAAAATGTAATTAGAAAAAAAAAAAAAAATAAAGAGAATTTCTAATTTGATGATAATTTATTTGAGATAGATTCGAAGAGAAACCTGTTACCACCAAAGGATGTATGTATTCCTTTCCTCAAATAGAAAATCTCTTGTTATTTATACCTTCTGAAACTATCTTGAATGAAGAGAATGGGAATTCATTTCCGTATGTAATTTAATTTATACAAAAATTTTATTATAAGCGAACAATGAATGATTTATCTTGGTGTATGTAACAGTGAACAGCTATGGGCATTGTATCGCATCAGTTACTTATGGTACACCATAATAGGTACTTTGGTCACCCTAAGTATTGGTCTTATAGTAAGTATTATTTCTTCCGAAGATGTTGACAAATTAGATCCTATGCTGTTAGCTCCATTTATGAGGAAATTCCTGAGATCTTCTAAAAAAAATTTACAACAAATACAGGTGACCTATTATAAAGATTTTTTTAGTTCTTGAAAGCGAGTAAAGATCTTTACATAATTATGTTTATATTTTTTTTCTCAGATTGCGAGAAATGATTTCAAAGTTGACAAACAAGTGGACGTTGAAGAAGATAAAATAATAGCAATGTCATCAACATGACAATGATTACTTATTTAATTTTTTTATACTTTAAAAGAGACACTTTAAATCTTAATTTTTATTATTTTTCATTCAAAATCATATTATATGCACCTATCTCATTGTATGTACGATCTTATTACGAAATGTTTGTTTTAGAAAAAAATGTTAACTCTGGATGACGGATTTATAACTGTATATTTTAAAATACATTTAAATTTTGCTTAAAATATCATATAAACGTAACATGTGATGTCTTCATGATAGAATTCATTAATTATTCTATATTATATAATTGTTTTTGTGTATCACACGCAGATTTATTAAGGCTTAAAAATAATATTACAAATAATATTATTTATTAAGGCTTAAAAAATATTCTATTCAATATTCTTTTCTTTTCACTTCTTCACTTTTCCAATATAGCTATAGAATTTTAATGATTGTGTTAGATATTTTTGTTAGAATAGAAAAAGATCTATTTATGAATTGTCAAAAAGAAAAAAGAATACACTTGTTTATTATTACAATAAAAAGGATTATACAAAGAATAATATCAAAAGAAAAAAAATGTATTCTTCGTTCTTAATGAAAAGTGAAGACACTTTGAAGGCGGACATAATTCTAAATACTATCGTACATATATATGTAGGCATGTATATATATATATGTAATTTATATATTTACAAATTTATATTTATACAGCAAAAACTTCAATACTTATTGGTTTATTTACTTCAAAGTTTTATGTCCTTCGTGCAGATTGTATTTATTGAGGATAGATATACCGAAATGCAAAAGTTTATGTCAAAAATTATATCTAAATATAAACTACGATTTTATATTGTATATGTATAAGGATAAAAATTGTACAAGAAGAAGATAATCGAATACTGTAATATATATTTGTCTGTACTTATAGAAGAAATCAGACTGCACAATTACAGGTCTTCTTAATAAAAATCTCCATATCATTTATATTATTATATACACTTACATCTTTCTAAACTTTTTTATCTGACTTTTGAATGAATAAAGTTTTTCTAATATAACTTCTTTTCACACAATGTTTATCGACATTTTTGTCACATTTATATATTCAAATAATAAATAAATAACTTGTATGAAATCGTTATCTCGCTTAAATTTGTATATGATAAATTTACTTGTAGTTTAAATATAAAGAGAAAATATTGATACAGATTATGGAATTCTTTGTATAGTTGTTTTTCTTTGTACTTTTACAAGCCATACAAAAATCAATTGTGTTTATCAAAAATGATGTAGATAAAAAATATATCTGCAGCAGTGCGCGTTTTTAAAAAGCTAAGGAATTGATGTATTGAAAAAAACACACCACTCTGTTTTGTGCTAACTCTATAACGAACAACTCTTTTTTCTTTTATTATTATTATTATTATTATTATTATTATTATTATTATTATTATTATTATTAAAATATGAAAAAATCATGTCCTGGATTCTACACTTGAAAATCTTATCACATTCGAATATTTTGTATAATGAAAGTTATATATATTTTATAATAAAAATAATCTAGTATAACAATATTCTTATAAAAATGTATAAAAAGATATGTGAAGAACCCAGCGCCATCATTAACTCTCATTTTTTCATTACTAATAAAATATACAGCCTTAAGATCTTCAAATAGATCTTTAAGAATGTTTTATTTCAATTTTAGACTAGATCAGGAGAGTTTGATATATATATATATATATACGAAGCAATACATTTGTTGGATTGATTGATTTTAAGAGAAAATTGATATATTACGTAGAGGAACACTCAAACAGCTGGTAAAATTTTTTCTGCACTTTTCAAATACACCAAGCTAATAATAAAATGATCATCATGCAATTGTATATTTATAACTAAATGGTATATAAAATATGTACTTTTTCATATTATTTTTTTTATCATTAAAGAAAAAGAATACCTATATAATAATTTACAAATATAATCAGATATATACGCTCGTAACATATATGAAAATAGTACTTTTAATATTTGTTTTACTCTTTTTTTTTTATTTTTAACAATAAAAATATTACTTATATGTTTTTTAATTTTATATTACGTAATTTTATTTATGAAAGTGTTTGCAAAACACTATCATGCAAATATTTGCTTGTAGAAAAACAGCAAAAGTTCTACACGTATGATTAGAGTTATAAATAATGCAGATATTAATTCTCTTTTTTCTCTATTAATATAATATAAAAACATGATAATATTACTCTAAAATATAATATCGCGCTAAATTGAATACAAACGGAATAATTGAAAATAGATTTTGTATATTAAATATTAATAATAAAAAAAAAATATCTTCTTTTTTTTTTTTTTTTAATGAAAATATAATATTAAAAATCATATAGATAACAAGTTTAGTCGTAACATGTACATTTAAGATACTCAATATGTTTTAATTAATTGTTAAGCATTTTCTAAGTACAATGAAACATATCATTAACTTATATGACTAATCTCATTAACTATTTTTTGTATGTATAATATAATAATTAATTAAATAATATAATTAAAATAATTATAACTTTTCTTCTAAAAAAATATATATATATATATATATATATATATATATATATTCGAGGCACACGTCAAATGCGTTCAAGGATACATTCCCCTGATGTAATTAAAAAAATATATATAGCTTTGGAGTTGAACGTTTAAGTAATTATAAGTTATGTACATTGAAATCTAAAAACAGTAAAAAAAAAAAAAAAAGAAAAAAAAAGGAAAAATAAACGTGAATAATATGAAAGTATTTCTATGATAAGGCTCACCACTTCCATTTCTTTTCTTTTTTGTTTTGTGCTGAAAAATTGTATGGTGCCCGTATGAAAACATTTGCGTTTGGAGGTATCATTGTGATTGAAAAATATTTCAGTGAATTTCATTACAGAATCAATTTTTTCGGAATTCGAAATGCACAAAAAATTGATATTGCTATGTTTGCTGGCAGGATACTGTCTAAGAAGGTAACGGTGGCGGCCAAGGTGCGTTTTCCTCATGAATCATCATCAGTCTAGCATACTTCACCATTTTTCTTCTTTGTTTATGCTGCAATTATATTTATAACGACTTTGGCTTCTGACCATCGTCATTAAAAAATGTAAATAATTGGAACTAATGATACGCAATACAATGTTATCTCTCTATCATTAAATGTAAAAATTTCAGTCATTCCTTTCATATTCTAGATGCAAAAAAAAATGGATGGGCTAATTTAAACATTTAAAATATATTTTATCTTGTATATAAAGATAAGAAATGAATATCAAGGGGCTATGTATCAAGATTTTACGCTCATCATAAGACATTCGTATGTACAATAAACATTTTTGTAAGAAAGGGAAAATTCTTTTTTGATCATGCTGTGATGGATGAGAGAAGTATTCTCTCTTCGCCAATTTTTTTTTTTTTTTTTTTTTTTTTTTTCTTTTTTTTTTTTAACATACGATTGCTTTATAATAAGCATACATTAATTGGATCTATGCTATTCAATATTCATATATACATGGATATAAATCAACAAAAATAAATTAGGATAAATTTAAATATGAAAACTAAAAATTGGATTTGAATAATGAATAAAATACAATGCAGGCTCATTTACAGAAATAAATAAATAATATGATACCGATAGAAGGTTTTTATATTGATTCCATGGGAAACCACCTTGGAATAGTAATAAAATTATTTCTAACCTGAGATGTAAGACCCATCCAACTGCTACTACTGCTTCCACTATCACTTTCGCTAGAAGTTATTCCATCCTCGAGTATTAATTTTGTTCCAAATCCTTCGAGTTCCAAATCAAAATAAAGCTGGCCTAACTGTTCGTTCACTAATAACGGCTGGTTAATTTTCTTCAAAGTGTCCATGTCGGCTTTGAGTACTTCATTTAAAGTCTTTGGATGAATTTGATACTCATATATCAATTCTGGTGTTAACTGAACTCCTTCTAACCAAGGTGGATCTTTCCTGTGTATTGCATGTTTTGCTTTTGCTGGTTGTTTTGAGTTCTATATATACACATATAAAGATACAATTTTTATTGTTAATAGATTTTTACTTATTATTAAATTTTAGCTATTAACAGATATATATATATATATATATATAAACATATACCTTTGCAATTTGTTCAGCTGTCTTTTGATCAGGATTGCAACTACTCTCACTACTTTTAGACAGGAGACTACTATAAAAACTCGAAGAACTAGACTCGTCACCGTTGTAATCAATTTTCCTATGTTGTTTGTTATTTATTGGTGTTGGTAAGTCCACAACACTGGAGCAACCACCGTCGTTACTGATGCAAGAAGAAAAGAGCTCACCTGGTGATAACACCTACAATACGAATGAATAAAAAATAAATTCATTAAACAAATAAATCGAATAAATATGTTAGAAGAATAAAAAGGCATACTTTTTTCGATGATTCGGACATAGCCATAATGCTGCCTGGTTCAGCCTTGATGCTTGTTGCTTGACTAGCTGGTCGTTTTCTGTCCATACATTTATTCGTGGGTTTATTTTCTTGTGGCATAGGAGCTTGTTCAGGTATCAAAAAAGGTCGATACATCATCGTTCCAGGAGCAGAAGTACCGATCACCGGAGGATACATGACGTTGGGCATTGCTGTCGCAACATACGGTACTGGAACAAACACTACATTCCTCTTATAAGTTCCCGATTTTCCTTAGATAGTAACGAAAGGAATGTAAATGCATATATTTCTATGTATTAAAACATAAATTATTAATTAATGGTTACATATTGATACATACTATACGGACTTTTTTGCGGCATTGGCAAAGATGACGATGGAGGGGCAACGTTTGTCGGTGGTTGAGAATATTTTGCTGTTGATATAGGAGTATCCATCGGTTGTGGTACAGGCATGTAATATACAGGTACCATTTGTGGAATCATTGGAATCATTGGAATCCTTGGTACAGCCTGACAATTGGCACTATGATGAAATTAAAAAAGAAGTTGGATATACGTATAAAGTAGATCTTACATAAATGTATCAGGATAAAAATATACTAGTAAGAAAATTACTTTTGAGGCGAAGTACACGGTAGAATAGGAGTTGCTGATGGTACAGTTACAGATAAAGGAGGCCACAAATTGATATTCCCATTGGTTTGAAACATCGTGGATGTTTGATCAACGCTCATACTCGTGACAGTAGTAGTAACATTCGTTGGCAATGGACCGGCAGTGCTCGTCCTGGAAACTTCATCGTGTTTCGAAACCTAACATATTTTGAAAAAAAAAAAGAAAAAAAAAAAGAAAAACAAAAAAGAAAAAAGAAAAATAAATGAAAGCAAAATTATAAAATACGCGTCGATAGTAATGAACGAACAGAAAAAAAAACGAGATATCGTAGAAATGATTCTGACCTTGAAGCTATCACCTTCCCAGCTATGACTGCCACTTCTCTTGACACCGTGACATTGACCGACGTAATAATTATTTTGATCCACGGACATCTTTTCGATCGACGTTTTTATACGTATATCTTTTAACTTATCGTTATTCTTTATACTTGATCGTAATTCTCGATGCTTTTGCATCATCATCTTCTCCATATCCGCGTTATGACGATTTAAAAGTGATTCGGTTAGAGTCGGTTGTTTGAAACTCTCAGTCGTAGTGGTGGTGTTGCTATTCGTGGTATTTGAAGTATTACCTCTGCTAACAGAGTTAAGTAAATTGTTGGAACCGTTGCTAAGATTTTCAGCGCTTACACTACCACTAGCACCGCTTCCATTTATCGGTGACATACATTTTCTCACTAAAAGTAAAAGCAAATTTATCAATTCGTTATCTCCGATGAAGATCTACGACAAATCGTAGTACAAATCATAGTTACATATACGTATGTAATACCTGTTGAGGTAGGACAAGTTTTATCGCCCTCGTCGTTGCTCGAATTCATCATTTCCTCGTCACTACCATACATGAATGCAACCGGTGGTTTGCTCTTGAAAAATCTCTCGATGTTTTCATTGTAGTTAAGCTGATTGTAACTGGGTGGTGTTTCCGTAGATGATTTACTGTCGTAGTATTCGTGATGAGGCGATATCTCACCAAGCATTACGCTGTCGTGCTCCTGTAACAAGGGATTGCGTGATCCCTTCACAAGTATATTGTAGAGACTTAGAAAGAGTTGTCATTAAGATTATCATTGTCATTTTTTGCATTGCGCTTGTACTGCAGTATGCTCGATTCAAAAGTGGTCAGTCTTGTTAGAAGTACGCGTGTGATACTGTAATACGCATTAGAACCTGCTCCTATGCGATCCGTCCGCAAACCCGGCCCTGCGTCCCGGCTGTATATATTGTTAGGACTTTTTATTTTCTTGTGCGACCACCGATATTTACGTAATGGTCTCCAAAAAGATTTAAGAATCAAAACGTCATATCTATTCTCTCCCTCTCTCGTTAGTTTCAAAACCTTGTAAGTGGGCAAATATACCCCATAGTCTTTAACGTTAACGTTTAACTGTCTCAAGTTATACATACATACAAATGCATTATGTTTGCTAAATCGAAATAAAATGATCGAACGAAGTATCTCGGTCATGTATCGAGAAATGGAAAAATAATGATCTACATATTTTACATGTACGCCGAAGAAATACTAGTCATCGTTTCAACGATCGGTAACGTTTGTTAAAATTGTTTAGAAAAAAATTGGAGGATCAGCTGTATCAAATCGAAATATTTACGATTCATAGGGACGAATACATAACTATTGACGTAACTGTTCCATGCTCCAATACGATTGAAAATTATCTATCTTAAAAATGGTCCAATATCTGGATCTTGTTATATCTCTAAATTCAGGAAGTAGATGCGGGATTGGTTGACATGAGAAGAATACAAATAATTTTTGAGAAAAGATCTACAAAGGATCTTCGATCAATTTTTAAAATGGCATCTTTCGTCTAAATTAAGAGATACCAATTCTATGGTTCACTATAGAATAGTGAGATTTACATTTGTTTTTCTTCGATGATTATCGGTCACTTGTTTTTAATAAATCACATCGCTCTACGACACGCCAATGGTCTCGATCGAGCTCGGTCTATAAAGGCTTTGTATGTGTTATAAATTGTTATATTATATAATATATTGAATGTTAAAAAAAAGGTAAAGACTTACCAACAACGTGACTACAAGGTTTTGAAATTGACGCTATCCTTCACCGGCCCTATATAATTTTCTTTGCCCACCTTGTCTGTGTCTATGTACAAAATAACTTGGTAGGTTTTTATTAAGATTTTGTGTGGTTTTTTTTTCTTGCTTACCACTACACCACATTATACGTTACTATAGCAAATGTTCTCGTGCAAAAACACCCTACCTCTAATTAAGAAGTAGCTTGTAAGAAGCACTTGTTCTTGTTTGAGTGCTTTTTTTTATAACAAATAGAAAAAATACACCAACTGCAATCGTTTCATTCGTTTTGTTGCTTCCTTACTCACCTTACACCATTTTTTTTTTATTTTGTCAATATTTTTAAGAAAATTCTACGATATATCGTATTCAGAAGCAGGAAGAAACTTTCGATCAAGACCAATATATACTTTGATAATTAATTCAATTTTCAAGTTGGATATATATAATTAGTACGAACAGTGATAATATTGCGATCGAAGACTGTCTAATTGCTTACTGAAAAGATATATCAGTATAAATCTTTTACTACGTTTCGCTTTCATTACGTTTAATATCATGCGAATAATGTGAAATCACCATAGAGAAAAAAAAGAAATTGTTTCTTATAAATATCGAGTTTGTTTCATAAATGAACGTCATTCATTAATCTTGATGCTTGCAAAAGAATTTCTTTCTTCTTTTTCTCTGTTGATATTAATTGTATCTTCGACATATTTACGGTACATTACTTTTACGTAATTAATATCAAATGACGTTTAATACGAGTTTAAAATTTTTCCCATATTATATGGTTGATAAATAATTGGCGATTGAGAAATCTTTTTGTTATCTTCTATTTATGTAACTCTAAAGAGTGTCTATATATATGTATATATATATATATATATATATATATATATATATATATATATATATATATATATATATGTATGTATGAACGCATGTATGTACCGAAAATATATCGTTTCAATTGTGCTTTACTTTTGTGTGATACCAATGTAAAAGTGCGAAACTTAAAATTATTTATCCACGTGAATTTGTTATAGAAAAAACCGTGGTTCTATATAGTAGTAAATATGTCGAGTATCATACCACCAGAGCACAGCTTAGCGTACTACTAGCAAAATTGGGTAAGAATGTCGGCGATACTAAAACGTAGGCTAAATAGTCACCGAAAAACTTCTGTCGTCCGCGGCTAGAGTATCCTTGCCAAGAGCCGGTGTCCTCACTTCTTGTAGTAAATTTTCCATGAAGGACGCAAGGTCCTTACACCTTTCCGAGACATCGTGCTCGGTAATATCTGATGTCCTTTGGATGCTCTGTACGTACACGTTCGTACGGATGAAAGATAAACAGAGAAAAGATTTTAACATGAGATATACTTATTTTTTTTAAATTTCACCTTACTCGAGATATCACTGTCGCGCGTGACCTTTCCTTTACTAATTATTATAAGTATTTCATTATATGTACTTCATTAAAAAATATTCTATTACGTAAATGAATGAAAGAAATTTTCAAATTTGTGTATAGATTACATTGTCCTTCTTATAATAAGACGAGGAGGAAGATCTTGATTGACATCGGTATGAATAGAGAAACCTACCTCATCTAGAAGAGTACGTATCTCGTTCTGTATGATCTTGGATTCTTTCAGTACCTCTTCGCTGATATTAGCCAGAGACGCGAATTCGTTTTTAGGTGGTACTCGAAAAATATCAGGATCCATAGGTCCCTTCAATACTCTATGCTGACCTACGACAAATTCTAGTTTTTTCGTCCAGGGATTGATAAACGACGACCATTCAGTTTCAAGGACGACGTAGCTTTTATTTTGGGCAGCGAATCTGTAGGGTTTCGATCGGAAGGAGGATCCTTCCAACTTGATTACCTATTCAACGATTTTTAAAAATATGAATCTAACGATCGACCTGGAATGACTTCGACTTGTTTTCTTGTTCGCAGTAGTCTATTCGTTTGATTTGTGTGTGTGTGTATGTGTGTATGTTTTTTTTAATCTACGAACGATGTAATGAATATAACGAAGCTTAAGTTTTCATTTGTGTATGCTCATGCTCACAGTTTCATAGATGTCTTTGATGAAGGGCAGATCCTCGGGATGATAAAAATCAAACAGTGAACGTTCAACCATGTCCTGAGGCAAATAGCCCAAGTATTGGACAACATCAGGATCGACATGAGATAAATGGCAAGTAGCAGTATGCCGAGTTGTAAATATCGAAGATATTATTGTTTCTTCTGGCGCTGTGGATAATGATAAAATAACAAAAGTAGAGATCATTATCTTTCATCTCTAGGCCAATCCTTCGCAAAGACAAGGCTTTCTTTTGATGAATCGTTTAATATTACAATTATTAACTTTGCTTTAAATCAAGTTCTTATTTTTCCCTTATTTCCATAGTCTTAAAACGATTTTTTGTAATCTACAAAATTACAGTACCTTTGTACGCTGAGTGCACAGGTTGGGCAGTAACGACTAGAAACATTGCTCTTGGTTGTTGCTCGACAGCTCGATCACGAAAATCTCGGAAGGTCAGTGTCAAATGAAATGGAAGGTAAAGATTCGATCTTGCGTTTTCCTGATCCTTGTTCGAGGTATTGTTATCAATCTTGACATTCTTACGTAATCCACAAAACAAACTTGCTCTTCTTCCATTAATTCCTAAGATGAAAGTTGATATTTCATCTAGTTGATCTTTTTATTATTTATAATTAATATGTTTATACTATCGAATGAAAAAAGAAAAAAAAAAAAGTGAATCATACCTTTTGGACGATCTTCTTGAGGCGATGTTATGCCGCTCGTTATCTGATCAGCTAATGTAGCCTTATCTTTAGGATGTACATAATCGATGAAGGAACGACCAATCCATGTGTCCTTGGGGTACCCTAAAGCTGTGCATATCGAGGGTGTTGTGTACAGCACGAGGCCGTCATGCATTGATATCACCGCGCAAAATCCATCCTATGAGAGTACGAGAACATTTGTTAGACACGATTCACGATGTACATATATATATAATATATATATTTATATATATATAAATTCTTTTTTTCGAATGTCGTCGGTGAAATCGATCCTAAAAGACAATCGATTTCACCCCACGAAATCATTTCATAATTTATGGTTACTCTTCTGTTTGTTAAGTGTTATTAAGATTCATCGAAGGACTCTACTAACAACAAAAAAAGATGGACACATGCAACATTTTTTTGAGGTGGCATTTTTGATAGATACAGACTTTCATTGTTAACGCGCATTTACGTTCAGAATAATTATAATATAATGTAAGGATTTGGTATAATAAGGCGTGCACAGAGAAAAAGGCTTATCATTTGTAACTACGTCGAAAAGATAAAAAAAGAAAAATGTTTAAACGAAGAAATGCATCATTCCCCTGAGTAGTAAACGCTCGGAGAATTACACATCGTAATAGGACACGTGTCCAAGGTTCGTGTATAGTAGAGATTTAAAATTAATTTGTACGCTTCACGTGAAGTTCGTAGTATCAATATATTTTTCTATCGAATCGATATAAATACAATTGTATGTATGTATATATTTGAATAATACACGAGAGAAAAGCTCAATTTTTTTCAATTTCGATATTTGCAAATATTAAAGATTGTGCATTAATTCAAAAACATTGTATCATTGTAACATGATAAAAAAAATTAAAGAATAAAAACGTCATATAAGTGTCATTTGAATGAATTATTGTTTCGAAAAAACTTACTGAATTACTTATTTCAAAGAAATTATAACATCAAGAAATACGTGATCCATTGGAAATATTTTCTCTATGTTAAATATTTGATATATGTTAAATTTGAAATGACATTTTGTGACGATCCATAGTACAGAAGCCACTTTTCTCCGTACTTTAAAACGGAGCATTATCATCATGTAATATCTGTGTATAACGAAATAAAGCCACCGCAAAAGAAGAAGGCACCGATAAACCATCAACGTGATAAAAGCATACATCCGTGTTAAATATATACATATGTATATAGATATATGTACAGAGAAAATTCTATTATATGTTCCTCGATCATGCTTGGGGACCCTAAAACCTGCCTAATATTGTAAATATTATTTTCAATAAAAAAAATTCCCATCGTCTATAAATTTTTTCTCCCATTTTACCAAAGTGTTACTAATAGAGTCTTCTTGCTAATTTGATACTAACATTTGCTTGTGAACTTGTATCATCCAGAAGATTCGTCCGAGAAGCAAGTCCTGCTTCCGGACTGTCTGTCAGAATATCGCCGTTGTGTTCGCCTGGATCCGTTGCATCCACCAATTCTACAGTTGCTATTTCTTCTCGTATACGTTAACAAAAGCTATTGTTATATACTTTGTGCATAGACCTTTATCCTGAATGATGTATATAGTATATGTATGTATGTATGTATGTATGTACGTATGTATTGTGGGACACATTAATTCATTCTCATCATCACCCAAGTAGCATACTATTTATTTTATACATTTTACAATTTTCCAACAACTTTTAAAATTGATTATTGAGAATTTTTGGAGATTTAAAATTCAAATATTTGCGTATTGTATGCCACAAGGGTTAGAATGAGCGAGTCATCGATAGAATAGAATAATTACATTTTAGGTCCCTTAGTCCGATATAATTATTCGTATATATATATATATATTGATAAATTATCAAGATGCCTGATAAAATATTTGTATCAGGTGTCTTGATAAACGAAGAAATAAACCGAATTAGGGTGATCAAACTCATTCAAGCTCATCCTCAAGGGTTTTTACATTAATCTGATTTTTATGGTATAGTAATGTCTCCTCGTACGTTGACCAATATCACTTAACATTATATATAATCTAATGTGAAGTATAAATAATCTGGAATGTTATATATGTTTTCGTTATGACTATATGGATAATATTGTATTTAACAATAAATCTGGGTCTCTCTCTCTCTCTCTCTCTCTCTCTCTCTCTCTCTTTCTCTTTCTTTCTTTCTTTCTTTCTTTCTAAGGATAATAATGAAGACATGAAATGGAACAAGATTGTGCAACGAATCTATTTTGATGTTGACCGTATTCTCTTTCAAGAATGAGAGAGAGAGAGAGAGAGAGAGAGAGAGAGAGAGAGAGAATTAGGCTTCGTATAACAAATAAATGTGGTCCGAATCGTTGATCATTGAAGATAACTGTCCATCGGGCTATCATTTGTGTAAAACGCTTTATTATTAAAACTTATGTAAATAATTACGTAAATGATGGCCGCGTGATTCTGTTATGTAAAAGGAACATTCGTGAGGGAGAGATCCCGCTCCATCTGCAAGTATATAACGGTACTTGACCAAACGGATATAAATTGTTTTCCAAGAAATAGGATGATAGTGATAATGAAGATGATGATGATGATATCATGCAGAATGATATTTTTGGATTTAATATTATCTTCCATTTAGAATAACTCATTTTCTTTATCTTCCCCTTTCACAATCTAATTTTCATTGAAAACAAAATTTATATTTAAAATGATTTAATCTATAGACAAAGTAATTTATTAATTAACAAAAAAATAATTGTTTGATATTTGATCAAAATGACACCTCGAGGAATCATATATCCAAAACGGACTAAGGGCAACCCTATAAGGAAATTGTTCCAAGACTTATGATTGGAATGTAATTAAGATTCTGTCTGATCAACTGATGAAGTGTGCACGTAACCAGATAATATTTCTTGGGGATCAGATAAATTATAAGCAAACAAAAAGAAAGAAAGAAAGAAAAAAAAAAAAAAAGAAACAAAAAATAAAAATATTTACAACGAATTCTATTAATCTAAAGAACCAACATTTGTTTCATTAATTTAATTCAATTCAGTTTGTATATGTATATGTATAATACACACACACACACGTTTTTACGGTATTGTAAAAAAAAAATTTAGGAAAATATTCATCAAATTAATAATAAACAGTACGAAGCTGGAAAAAAATTAAAAATAAAGTTTGACGACGATAAAAATTAAGTGAAACCAAGTGTGATCAAACGGAATAGTCAGACTTTTTCTTTCTATATAATTCCCCAGCAAAAAGATAGATAATAAAAAATTGAGAGTAAAATTTATTATTAATTATTTCTTTTTATCCATAAGTATATTTCTCAATTATAAAAAGGATTTTAAAATGAAAATTGTGGTAACGTGCACTCTTCCCAGTATAATTCGATCGTAACCAACCTGTTTGTTTCTCAAGTATTGGCTTCGTTGAGGTGACAAGATTATAGGACGCATTATCCGGCGGTGTTCCGATACTTCTCAGAGTAATTTCTGCCTCGGCATTAACGGCCAAAGACGTTTTTGATTTCTTCTTCTTGTATTCTTTATCCTTTCTTTTGCTGATCGGTTGTGGTAGTGCCTCATTGCTAAGATTCATATAAATAATACATACACATATGTAGATATAATATTAAAAATTAATTTTGTCTATATGCAAAACGTAAGAATAAATGTGTATAGATATATATGTATATATATATATATATATATATATATATATGTATATAACATGTATGTATATATATATATATGTATATAACAGTTTATTATATTTATAAATTTATTATTATTAATTTATTCACATTATTTGTATTAATTAATCACGTGATGGTTGTTATCATATAAAAAATTTTTTTAAATTTGCTATTAATTAATAATAATTGATGTGCTTCACACAGTAAATGTGTGAAATAGAAAGATAATCAAAGAGAAATTAATTAAGTTGGAAAATATATTTCAATACAATTTTGTGATTTTTCTTTTTTTTTTTTCTCAGCAATAATTATTGCAAGCTATTCTTATATCCTTTTTCGACGTTTTAACAAAAAGAAAAGAAAAAGAACAAAAAAGAAAAAAAAAAAGAAAAAATGAAATAACGTTATTATGCACCGATAAGTCACAGATGTATCCTATATAAATATAAAAGTACATATATATACGCGCACGCACACACACATACACATACACTGGCTGTTGTGAGAAAATATATATATTGTATCGAGCGCGTGCTAGCAAACGTGATGGTTATAATAAAAAAGAAAAAAAAAAAAAAAAAAGAAAAAAAAAAGTAAAAGAAAAAGAAGTACTAATAGCTTTTAATCTTCCTTCTTTTCTTCTACTTCTTCTTCTTTTTCTTCTTCTTTTTTCCATGCTATATCTTTCAGTTTTTTTGCCCTTCATATGAAAATCCTGATAATGTTCAGATCGAAAAGCTTTTAGAGATAGAAATAAAACTATCAGAATGATCTTCTAAATGACATTTGTCTACCTACGAGTGAGAATACTTATAACTAAGTCTTGACTATTCGTAATAGTTCGATAGCTTTCTCCCGGAAAGGATGGTTAGAATTAAAAAAAAAAAAAGGAAAAAAATCGTGATATAAAGGCTCGACATAACAGTAATAGCTAAGCACGAATAGTATATTATGCAATACTGGAGAAAGTGTTCCTTTCTTACATGGACCTTTCTTCAGACTCTGCCCAATGCGGAATACACATTGTGTAACGTGCTTCCCTTAACGTGCTTACACACTATTAGAAAAACAAAACAAGATATTTCTTTTTTATTCTTTCTCTTTCTTCTTTCTCTTTCATACGCTTCTCCGATATTAATCCTTAACCCAAGGATTAAAAATTCAAAGACTCGAATAGTTCATTGTATAACTTATAAAACGAATGATTTTTATGGATCATAAAGTTATATTTGATTTTGAAGCAAGAAAAAGAAATAAAAGACACAGGAAATGAAATTGTCGTTTAATGATAAGTCGACAAGTCTCTTAGACATGATTAGAACTTAGAAGAAGATTTCTTTGTTTCTTTTCTTTATTTTTTTTTTTTTTATCATGATAAACATTAAACACGTTGATTGTTCAAGATTATTTCTTAACGAGTTTTAAATCATCATACGTGTGTATGAACATAATTGTTTCTAAAATTAGATTAACGTAAAAACTTAAAGATTAAAGTTACTTTATCACGTAGACGATAAAATGGATGATTTTTATAGATCATAGATTTGATTCTAAAGAAAAAAAGAAAGAAGGAAAGAAAAATAAGATGGCGTCAAATGATCGTTTAAGCAAAAAATCGAAATTTATATATATATTAATAAAAGTCGAAAATTATATATATATATATATATATATATATATATATATATATATATAATCATTAAAAAGCTAAACGATTCATTTCTTATTTTAGTTTACCATTTATCTCTATTATGCAACAATGAACGAGTATATCTCTGGACTGCGTTGGCGACTATACGAAAGGCACGTGGCACGACACGTGTAAGCTAATGTTTACGACGCTGTAGCTTCTTCCTAGTTAAAGCAAATAAAATATTCTTTCTTGGTATGCGAACAGTTCATTGCAATGATTTTTCTTATCATTTTGTATGCATGTATATCGTACGTCAAAGACGAGTCATTTTCATCGAGTGAAATTAAGAGTTACAGTATAGATTATTATTTTTTTCGTCGATCCATTTACGTCTATTTAATTTATCTCAAATTAATTTATTTTGTAATTTTCTATATATAACGCGATATGTGTCATTTTCACTCGTATGTCTTTCACGATTATGTGTCACGTTCACTCGTATGTCTTCTTTCAGCTGTTTTTTTTCCTTGTTTATAAAATTAATTGTTTGTTTATATTTAAAGATTAAATGTTTACTAAATATAAGAGTTTCGTATTTTATATATGTGTATAATTCTTTTTTATTTTTTTTGTTTAAAACACGAAAAATTTATCCGTGTATTAAAATCATCACGTTTGCACGTAATGCCTATTAATTTGAAAAGAATTAATCGCATTTGTCATTAAATTAAAGGATTATGCATAAAACATCCTTGTTTGAATCTTCTCTTCCTATATATGTAGAAATGACTTTAAAGGAACGTTCGTCGATCTTGAACGTCCTCTTACATTGTGAGAAGACGATGTTACAAGGTTTCTTAGTATTTATAGAAGTCTTTGAGCGACACATTTCAATGCTTGAATACACGGTCGACGAATGTATAAAATCGATTTCAAAAGGATAGATACCTCGAGCCAAAGGTCGAAGGACGTCTACCGCAATAGCCACTACTTTCCGAACGATTGCTGTTCCTGGATATTGAACTGCCACTACTGAAAAGAAAAATAAACAAAATAACATTATTATTTTTTTGTCATTCATTCACGTCAACAATATATTTATAAGAAATATCACCTACAAAATGGTAGCTCTAAATAAAAATTAAAAAATTAATTTTTCAATAATTTTGAATAGCAACTATGAGGACAATTTGAAAAATTCGCGACTTTTTTTGACTCGTCTTAAGATATTTATTTTATCTTACAAAAAAAAAAACAAAAAAACAAAAAAAATAAATAAAAACAAAACAAAAAAAATTATTTGAAACTACAAATATTGATACGCATAAGGCTAAATTTAACATATTTTTGTTACACAAAAGATCCGAAGAGCTATTTTTGTCCGTGCTGATTTAAAATTTGACAATCTATATTTGATATACCCTTGAATATAAAAATTTGAAATTATTTTTATACTAGGACCATTGGAAAAAGTTGACTGCTTTTTTCTATTTTTATTGTTCACTTTAAAAATGAAACTTATACATTTAAATAAAAAGAAAAAGAAAGGGGAAAAAAAGCCATGAACTTTTCAAATGTACCCTCGTTATACAAATGTGAAATGAAACAAGAATTTATATACGAGAAATAATCATATCGTGCAATTATCAAACAGATAAATCAGGCCACGACTCTACATAAGAAATATTACAAAATAACAAAATAAATTCTTCAAACTTGTTCGAAGGATTAAGAAATATTCGTTAATCACTTCCTTGTCCTAGATCGGCTTCATGGGAATACTAAGTGCTAAGACGGGGGAAAGGAAATATTCTAAAGCTGTGGTGAAACGGCCTCGTCCTATTGGCCGATTGAACCAGGTTCGAAAAAATCATGTTACTTGCTGACACAAAATCTCCGTAAACCAGTTTGATATTTAGAAAAATGTCTTCGATCACATGTTTGGCAAACGTGATCGTGGTCCAGCCCTTACGACGAGTTCTTTCTAGCCTTTCACTGTCCTCATTTTCTCTATCAATAAGCTCCGACACGAGTCTCCTGCATTTGTTGCACCTCACGGAGCCAGAAAAATTATTGCATAAGGACGGTTTCACGTTCGTAGCCCCGTGACTCCTACGCCGTTAGATAAAAGGAGGACCGATAATTCGTCGATCGATTTGATACTTTCAATTTAATATGTCGAACGTTTGAACGATCAAGGATGTTTTGAAAAAATAAAAAATAAAAAGAAAAGATAAATAAAATAAAATAAAAAAATAATAAAGGATGAAAAAGAATTAACAAAATAATTTTATATATACATATATATATATATATATATATATATATATATATATCTTATTGGGAATATTCCATGGATATGTTCGAAGAAAAATATCATTGTGAATAATTCTTCGATCAAAAATTTACAAACAATGAATGCATTTCATCAGCATAGAATAAAGAATCCCACACGTTGTATATTAAAATATAAAAATAATTTAAATGTTTATCGATGAACATAAAAAGAACAAACCTATTCCCTTCGCATACAACTCATTATGCGTATCTGATATAAATATTCGTATATCTTAATTAAATATATTTTCAATAAAAAAGAAATCTAAAGGAATATTTTTGATTTGACGTAATCCTCGTTCATATTCCTTTTAAAATATACATTACAAGCGAGGAGTCTCGATCATAATTTGAGAAGTATAGATGGTACATTTGTATCAAAAAAAAAAAAATAAGTAAATAAAATAAATAAATAAAACAATAAATAAACAAATAAAACTCTAATAATTTTATAATCTCATAGAAATTTTGTTGCAAAAAATTTCAATCGGGAAAATCAATTAGATCGTAAGGAACGAAATTTTTCGATGTAAAAAATTCCTTTGTTAAAAATTTGCATTTATTATTATTATTATTATTATTATTATTATTATTATTATTATTATTATTATTATTATTAGACATTTAAATTTAACTCCATAATCCTTTTATCTTCTTTAATTTGCAACAGCTTGAATTTTATCCATAATGTTAACCGAGAATGTCGTGCGCATATAAAGCAATTGTTTCCATTGAATTATCCCCGATCTGTGACTATAATTGATCGTTAAAAATAAACCCATCACTATTATAAATTCTATACAATTATATATATATATATATATATATATATATATATATATATATACAAATATATAAAGAAAACAATCTAACTGGTTCGACAAATATTTATTGTTGGACAATTATTAATATTACATTATGTTATGCACTTAGATCTGACCCTGGATTTCACTCACAATTAGTTCTATAAACGTATCCCAAATAGGGTTATTATGTTAATCTATATTATGTGAATGGGTCAAGGAACCTCCTCACAATATTATGCATTTATAGTATGATTGTTTTTTTTTGTGTTTCAATGAGTATGGATTAGTTATTATTATCGTTATTATTATCATTATTATTATCATGGATATGTTTTCTCGGATCCCAAAGTGTTCAATTTTTTAAAGCATTTGTGAAGATAAATCCAGCACAAAAGAGGTCTTGTGAAACATTATAAATAAAATTCTACGATGGAAAATTATTATTATTATTACTATTATTATTATTATTATTATTATTATTATTATTATTATTATTATTATTATTATTATTATTATCATTATTATTGTTATTGAATGATAATCATTTTGTCGATATTTTTTTGTGCGTGTTAAAAACACTTTCCTAAATCAACTTTCCAAATCTACTTTCGATAATATCAATTACGTCCTTACACGTGGCTCACGTTTAAATTGACCCGTTTTCATTGCATTTTGCAATATCTGCATAGGTGAGCTAAATGCAACATGGAAATTCAATCGAAGTGTTACGTCGAGTAATAGTTAGAGATAGAGAAAGAGAGAGATAGAGAGAGAGAGAGAGAGAGAGAGAGAGAGAGAGAGAGAGAGAGAGAGAGAGAGAGAAAGAGAGAGATAAAGATAGAGATAGAGAGATATAGAGAGAAAGAGAGAGAGAGAGAGAGAGAAAGACTGGTTAGCCTTAACCGTAGTGTACGATTTTCTATCTCTCTCTATCATTACATTCTCTATCTACCTCTCACCTATAGTACGAAGGATTCGTGTCAATGCCAAGTATCCTTTACCGTACATAACTGAGATTAGTTACAGAATTTACAGAGTCCTGATTATTTTAATGTGTACTAATTGTTTATATGTAAACTATCAACTCTATATCATGGATATGTACGAAATAAAAAATAATTTAATTTTATATATGTATTTTATATATATATATATATATATATATATAATACATATATGTGTGAAAGTAGCCATATAATTATATTATATAATATATTATATAGTAATTGTAAGAAAAAATATATACCTATAAAAAAAAAAAAAAAACAAAATAATATACAATGAAATAATTAAAAAATTGCCAAAATTCTTAGAACACAATTAATTTCTAATTACTACATCATATTCTTGATAACGATATTATAATAAATATTTCTTCAACGTGATTTCTCGAATGCAGGAGTCACGTTTATTCACAATTATCTAATCATCTAATCATCTAACACAATCAAACGATATTTCCAATGCAATAATTAGAAAATTTATTTATGATACAGAAATCTATAAACCAATTTGCTAGACCTATTAAAATAAAATACAATTTGAGAGTATAATTAAAAAATACGATTTAGTATTTTTTTTTCTTTTTTTCTTTTTTTCTTTTTTTTTCATAATAAAAATGTAAATATAAATTTTTTATCACTATACTGATATCTCATTTCAATATGGATATAATGATTTATCGTAAAAAAAAGGAAGAATGATCGATTAAATCGATTGATCGATCGATCTATTAACTAAATAATGATTTTGTAAAGTTTACGATAAATTACAGAACTAGCAAGTTAGCAAATTAGTAAATATGAAAAATATGAATGCAACGTTCATCATCATCATCATCATCAATCAGAACATATTGAGGAATTTAAATATTGGTTCGTCATTTTGCACGGTATATACGATACTTTATCTCTTTACAATTATTTTTTTTTTACGAGGAAAAAAAAGAAAAAATATTCAATTACAATAATAGATACACATAAAACATTACTTCGTATAAACATCAATCATAATAATTAAAATTTCATAAATGCATTTGTCATTTTATATTACATACATTCTCGCTGACCATATTGGAGAGAGAGAAAAAAAAATAAAAGAAAAAACTGAACTTGTATATAATAAGAAAATTTGTATATAAATAACAAAAATAGATAAAGATATAAAAAATACATTGATATACCTTCGTTGCGACTGGCTGTTGCTGCAGGTGTTTGAATAACCAGAGTCCGAAACTTTTGCATTTTCGGCAGATGTTTCTTCCATCTCGTCTTCTTTGAATCGTAAAATTCTTATTAAGGAAGGACTCTGTCTCTCTTTCTTTTTCTCTTCGTTCTCTGTAAGCGTTGAATCACACCACTAATGTGGTAAGAATGCTCGTTTGTTTCATAATTCGCACTTCGAACGATGGATATAAAATGAATACGAAAGGAATCGAAAATAGAAAGGAAAAAGAGAAAAAAGAAAAAAAAACAGAAGAAAAGAAACGGTATGATTGTCCTATACGTAAGAGCGGCAAAAAGAAAATGTAAAAAAATATTATAGTTCGCGCGAGGATGTTCAATTTTTTTTTTTTTTTTTTTTTATTGAAAGATCAAAGCACTTCGTGATATTTTTATTAAACGAATAAAATAAACGAGAAGTGAGATTATTCGATTAACTTGAAAAAAACTTTTCATTTAGTATCGTCGATCTATAATACGAATTTGATATAAAACACTCGCGAGACGAGATCCCGCGATGGTTACGCTAGTAGAGACCGAAATCGTGTCGTTCACAATCTTCGCAAGTACGAACTGGACCTCATCTCGTAGCACGTTTGAAAACACGTGAGCCTGTAACTCCCACTCCTCGAAAAGTCACCTATATCGTTCTAGGTAGGAGTCTATCCCCTCCAAGCGACCATTTCACTGTCACGTAACAACATAGGCGATTAAAATAAACGCTCTTTCTCCCCCCCACCACGCCCCTCGATCACTATACAAGTAGTCACGCTCCATCATTCTGCCTATCGCGGGAATTTCATCCTCTGCGATAACGACTCCTACGGCAAAATTATTAACTATCAGTCGCGTCAGCGCTAATTTCAAAACTTCTTCATTCTTTTTTTAAGATTACAATTATGTATGCATTTATATTGTAAATGAACATTGTTATCTTCTATGAAAAATTATAATTGTAGATTTTTTTTTTTAAGAATATTAATGAGAAATGTTGTAAAAATATTTCTTATGAACTAACATGCCATATAAATTGTAGTAGATTAAGAGTAATAAAACAATATAAATAAAAACATAATTTATTGCTTGCTATAAATATATATATATATATATATATATATATATATATATATATATATATATATATATGTATGTATGTGTGCGTATACACATATTATACACAATATATACATATATATATATATATATACATATATATATACACATATACACATATATACATATATATACACATATCACACACACATACACATACGCACATACACACACACATATGTGTGTGTATACTGACAAAAATATTTACCTTTACTTAATTATAGATATATCACAGTTTTCAGGTACAATACGCCAAACCGAGCTTTCTTGTATCCTGAAATCAAGAAGAAAAAATGTAAGACATTTGTATCATTGATATATATGTAGTAATATATATTCAGTCCAGTATATAAAAAGAGTAAAAGTCTGTAATTTTTGCATATTGAATATGTATTTTATAATTTTAAAATAAGTCACAGTTACAGTCCGCCGAATTTCTATTGCGTATAGTCGTAAAGTAAAGTAAAGGTCTAACACATGTGGTGCAATGTGAACCATGACAAAACATACTTGTGCGTTGATTTACTAGTATTTGACAAATATGTCCCATGATGTCAAATGATGTATTTACTTTAGCTTTGAAAGTATATGATGTTATATCCTTTTAAAATTTCACTGCAGTAAGCTCAATAAATACAACAGTGATATTTTTATTAATTTTTTTTTTATGTATCTATAATGAATGTTACTAAAAATTTTATTATTAATTTTTCTATAGACACTTTGGGCGAATCATCATGAATTCGAAACATTTATAACGTGCGCCAAAATAATTCTATATATAAAATCTTATGAAATATTTCAACATAATATATTTTTGTTAAATTCGCACATCACATGATATTTTGATATCACATTTTGGCGATATTAGAATATTATATATCTCTAAATATTAAATAGATGCATTACACTTCATTAAATTAAGTTTATCAAATCTTATTGCAGTGAAAATTTTTTGGGCATGTACAGAATTTAAGGTAATTCATGTTACGTTTCATACGATATCCCATTATTTTAGACAAGTATACAAAACTTTTGTGTAAATTACAAAATATATCTGTTTTTTTTGACTAATTCCACAGCACAGATATATGTGTATATATATATATATATATACATATATACACATATATATATGTATGTATGTATGTATGTATATATATTTATAGGGGCCTGTACGAATGATACTTTTTCATTTAATAACATAATCTGTTATGCTTCAACACAGTTATCAATTTTGCTATATAAACGTATATATATATATATATATATATATATATATATATATATTTATTTATTTTTATTTATATATATTTATATACAATAATATATATTGTTATTTAAATTTATTCCATATAAATATATATTTGAATTATATTCTATTTCCAAAATCCATGCATTTTATAATAAATTGCGTTTCTAAATTTTGTCTGAATTGTAAATTTATATAGAAATAAACAATAAATTTATATAGATATACACATTCCAGTAAGAACTAAATATTAATTCTTAACGAATTACTCATAATATTTTAATTGCTCGTTCGTATGTAAGTTGTAACTTTTAGCAAGAATTTATAAATCAGCATGCAAAATATAACACACAAATTGAACATACATTCCAAATGTATATAATAATAAAATTAAATAGATAATTAAGATTACTTAATATTTTCTTAGACAATCTAAATCAGTTAAAAATAGAGAACAAAAAATCAGATATAATTGCAACATTTCACGTATATGCAAAGATAAAGGAGAATTAAAGTAAAATTGAGAAACCAAAATATTCTTTCCAAAAAAAAAACAAAAAGAAAAAAAAAGAGAGAAAAGAAAAGAAAAAATACAGCATGCTTCGATTTATAATTCGCATATTTTACATATATTTTTATTTTGAACAACTGTGTTGAATGTAATTTATGGAATGAAAAAAAAAATGATATCTATAATGCTGCATTTCTATTGATAAATTGAAGTTACAATTAAATCATTGCAAGTTGTATCCTTCAATTAGGTAGTTTTAATAATTAAAAAAAATGAAACAAACATATATATATATACATATATATATATGTATGTATGTATGTATGTATGTACGTATATATATGTATGTATGTATGTATGTATGTATGTATGTATACATATTATCATTGGATTTCGAAAATAGATATTGTTTTTTTATTAACGTACTGGCAATTTCAGTAATAGAAAAAAAAAAAAAACTAACGTTAAAATATATTTACAATCGAAATATATTTACGTCTACACACTATACTGCCTGCATTTTATATGGGCAAAAATATCGATGCAATAAAATTTATTAATAGCTTCGGAACAAAATTATTTTCTTTTTTTTTTTTTTTTTCGCAAAGGCCTGTCGAAATAAGAAAATAAAAATGGGAAATGTATGTGTAACGATATGTAAGGATAAAGTAAAGCAATAGTGAAGTTTTAGTAATGTAGCTGCGAACGTAATCAATAGTTAAAGTAGATAGTTGTTGTTTCCTTGGATGCAGGCCCAACGTGGTCAAGTGAGTCTTAAAATTCGTCTCTTTCGTTGCGTGCGTCCAGCTTGTGTATACCAGTCAGTCTGTGAAGATAAATAGATACATTACATCTTCTTTAACTTTTCAAAATAAATGTATCGTCAGTTATAACGTCAGGGAGTTATAATGTAAGTGTCTTTTTGTCCCATTCATTCTTTCTTTCAGTTTGTCTAACGTTCAGCTTGTACTTACACAGTACACAATAAGCTTAACGTTCGTCTTCGTCAACTCTTAATCGTTTTCTACGATCATCACCAACGCTTCGTTCCTCTGCCTCCAATACTTTAAGACGAGAACCACATATTTCTTGCCCATGTAGAACCTACCAAAGATCTTATAACTTAATATCTAAACTGCCTAATGTTTGAAATTCAAATAAAAGCATCAAATAAAAGAAAGAAGAAAAAGCAATATTTGTAAAAATAAAAAATAAAAATAAAATTATACCTCAATAGCTTCGTCTGCACTCGCAATGGTCGCATATTTGGCATAACCACAATTTTTTCCCGGAAGCATATATACATCTATTAAATTACCAAACCTACAAAATGCATCTTTCATAGCATATATAGGTGGTACGGGTGGACCACATACGATGAAACATCGTTTGGCTACCTCTGCATCCACATTTGCCATTGGTTGCGCAGGTGGTAACTTAATGCACATTGTTTGCTCTAAGCCTAAAAGCGAATTCATTAAATTATTATGAATAACGCATAAAACGACATTTAAATAAGTAAAAATATTTTATAATTTTTAACTCACTTGGTGCTGTTAATCCTGCTGCCTGAATCAAAGAAGTAGCTTGAGCAATAGTTTCAGCTAAATGTGCTAAATCTGTTCTTGCTGGTGTAGCTGAATTAGAGCTAGGTTTTGTTGAACTTTTAGATGACATATTACTTGTATCTGGTTTAACTATCATTCTATGACCTGGAGGATATTCAAAGCCATGAAATTTTTCCCTAGCATATGCTGCTGCATTTGGATTTGAATACACCACAATGGCTTGCCCTCTTGGCATTCTATATCTCGCATCTGTTTTTAAATGACAATAATCCATACCAGGTACTATGTCAAATAATTTCCATAATTGGTCTTGATTTAAAGCTGGATGCGCAATAACTTGTAATTGAGTATAACCTTCAGGATTTGGATAATTCGTGGCTATATCTAGACTGATGCTGCTTTTACCAAAATTAGCAGAAGTATGACCAAGACTATCGTAAGACATAGAAGAGCCATTATTGTATTTAGAATCTATATTTTCAGGCTTCGGTTTCTTTGGTTCTGCAAACACTGCTTTATATTTTCTATCGCATTCTTCGAATGCTTTTGCTGCACTGGATACTTTTTTAAATTTTACATAACCAAAACCTTTAGATTCATTTGTATTACGATCTTTAACAACAGTCGCATATTCTATTTGACCAAATTTAGAAAATTCTTGTTGTAATTCACTATCGGTCATTGACTTTGGTAGCACACAGAACAATCTGACCCATCTTTCCTCTTCATTTGTTTCTCTCACAGATCCTTGATCACGACTGTAATGATCAAGTAAAGATAGATAAAGATAAGATTTATAATGGTGGAAATACTAGAACATCCCCTTTATTTCTGAAGGTAAGAAAGTTAGTTTTCTATATTTGTATATTTATATATATCTATGTATATATAAATGACATATGTCTAATTAAAGATAAAATTGACACAACACCGACAGAAATACAGAAGGGTATGCACTTATGTCAGATCTTTCAAACATATACCGTTTCACTTACAATTAATTACACCAAGAGAATAAAAGTAAAATTTAGATTATCCACTGATACGATTGATATCTATTATTGATTTTGAATATATATATTTATATATTGCATTCTTGCAAGTTAAATAAGATGTATGCAAAATACTTTTTCATACCTTCAAAAATAAATGTTCCACATATAAGCATGACCCTTTAAATGAAATTAAACAAGGAAAATCAAGTTTGAAGAAGAATATATATCTTTCTGTCATACTTTGAAGCGATCATCACTTTGATAGGTCTTCCAACCATGCCCAGCATTTTGCCATTCATTTCCTCCAATGCAAATGCAGCTTCTGACGTCTTGGAAAATTTGATATACGTAACCCCTATGAAATTGTTTATTTATATAATAACATCAATATGATTGTTCACATATCAAAAGAAAACAAAAACTTTAGCTGTCCTTGCGATTATGACGTCAGAACGAAATGAAAATATTAAAAAGTCATAAAATATGTTAACAATATGATTGATAAAGAAGAATATTAAATATATCATCGATTAATTATTAGAAAAGAAGAAATATTACCTTTATTCTCGCCAGTATTTCGGTCCTTAACGACCCAGATATCCTCGATCTTGCCGAACTTCTCAAAGGCTTTCCGTATGTCATCTTCTTCGAGAGATTTGTGACAAATAACGAATAAACGCGAATTAGGCGGATCATCGTTCTTTGATCGCGGATCCATTTGAGAGTAAAAATCCCGTTCTTTGTGGTCTACCATCATACAAACGAAATGGACGCCGATCTACGGGTGTACGCCTATGTATGTCTACTGTACTCTGCAGTGATGCCAGATGTAATGAACAGGTTCGAGGCGCATGCGCAGTAATATCACAACGTTCGTCGTACCTGTTCACGTCATTACCAAAATATATTCTTTATATTATTTTTCAACGTAAATCATTTAGATCTAATATTGATCATATTCAAAATTATCGTGTTTATTGTTTATCCGTAATCGATGACTTCATAAATTCGTTTGTTTTTATATCTTTACATTTCATTAATAAATAAATTTATATACCGCGATACTCTCTATTTTCTATGTAATAATATTTTTTTTTGTCTTTTGGAAAGTGCAAGTTTCCTTTTAATTATTTCTTTTTCTTTTTGTTTTTTTTTTTTTTGTTTTCTTTAACCGTTCAACCTCCTGACACACTTTCAAATTTCAAACACGTTGACATCAGATATCCTCTCTTATTAAGCAATCACTTAATAAAACAGTATTCTCTGTATTGTAATTTAGGATTACACAATTTTTCACTACCTTAAGAGGTATCGTTCCAACTTGAGAAAGACTGATTTGATAAAGGCGCCTCCTAGTGTTATTATATACAAACTTTTTTCTTCAAGGCTGTAACGAAATAAGAAACTGTCTAATAATGAATACATAATTTATCCAAAAATCTAATGCGAAGCAAATATATGCATGTGCATGTGTACATAAAAAAGAGATGAATACAAGAAAAAGAAATGAAAAAGAAAAAAACAAAACGAAAAAACTTTATAACCTTTATATTTTCTATTAAAATATTTTTGTATGTATATAAACGTTATAAAGCACCCATAATCATTCCGGTGAAAGTATAAGTCTGCTCCTTTCAATTTTATTGAAGGAGCAGATCATCTCTCTCGCATGGATTGAAAATGTTCTTTCACATTGATCAATTTCTTTTTTTTTTTTTTTGATTTAACAAGATCACTATATCATCATCGAGTATTACTATCAGTAACATTGCCGTCTAACACACATATATTAAACCAATCACTTTTGAGCTTATATCTGTCATATTATTCACATAATATATTTATTCTTCGCATTTACTTTCACTTTAATCAGTCATTAAAATATCGCTATAAATCTAATGTTTAAACTGACTAATTATTATTTTTTTTCCTTTTTTTTTTATTTTCATTTTTCTCGTTTCTATCTTTCCGGTCTAATATATTTATTTTTTTTTCTTCTTTCTTTCTTTTTTTTCTTTTCTTTTCTTCTTTCTTTTTTTTCTTCTAATCTTCCTATTTTTTTTTTCGTGCGTGTCTTATACAGACCATACAGTCAATTTCCATCACATTAGGTTGATGACTATACCGGATAACGGTCGTTACGTTTTCAAGTAAACTGTTTCGTCCCACAAAAGCATTGAAGAAGTCATGCTCCGATATTTTTCCGGATGTAGTACGTTAGTATGTTAGACGAAAGAGAAATATGGATAATAATATATTGCATATCTCAAGAATTGTCGTTTTCGTATTTTAAGTGAACGTAAATACGATAGTTCTACTTTCTTCTGTTCTCTTCTTAATCTTTTCTTTTCCTTTCACTACAACTCTATTTTTTTTTCTTTTATCGTAGTAAAACAATTTTTTGTTACTTCTTGTAGCACACAAGAAAAATTTTTTTTACATTTTTACATATATTATTTACATACATAATTTATTTTTTATACATTATTTATATCATTATTATAAAATTCTAAAGTTTCAATTAAAGAGTTCGAATTTCGCGCCAAATCAAAATAAACACTAAATATATCATATTGAATTCATAGTTCGATTAAACGACGTTTGATATACGAATAAAATCATACACGTTCGAGCAATGATATTATTTTGATTATATCAATTAAATTTTATGTAGAATTTTTCTTAAATTACCATAAAAAATAAATATCTTCGGACATTATTTACTTAATTATTATACAATTCGAAAGTCGCACTATTAACGAGTTTGAATTTCGCGCCAAACAAGAATGAACACAAAATCATATTAAATTCACACTTCGATTGATATATTTGATAATATGGACAAATCTATTTATGTTTTAAATATAATACTACTTTGATTATTATTTATTATTTAAAAATTTTTATATATAATTTCTCTCTCTCTCCTCTTTCTTTCTTTCTCTCTCTCTCTCTCTCTCTCTCTCTCTCTCTCTCTCTCTCTTTCTATATATATATGTACATATAAAATTAAATTGATCACAATAAAATAGTATGAATTTGATTCAATTTATAAATGAAAAATTTGGAATCGTTGATAATACGTAAGTAATTAAGTATTATTAAATAATTAAACCTTGATAAAACCTTATCAAAAGAATTAAGCTTTCTTATTTTTTTAATAAAACAGAAATAAAAAATAGAAATAAAAATATAGATAAGTTAAACTCAATATACTTTTACGTTTACATGGTTAATGCATTGTAACGTATATTTTCATACTTACTAGGCAGCAAGAAATATATATAGGCGCAGTACGATTCATGAGGTAATGTACAAATTAAAAAACAGAGAGAGTAAAGGTCAAATGTTTCAAATATATTACTAATAAGTAAAGTAAGCAAAAGTATGAGTTTATCCGTAGATCGAAGTTCGGAAAATGCGTCAGATTTGCAACTTGAAGATTTTATAGAAAAAGAAAGTCGAAGACAACTATTTCAGGTTAGATTTTTCGTTTTTTTATCAACTGTCCATATCTAATTATTGAATTTGTCCATTTTGTTATATGGATTTGATAGCACATCTAAAAACGTGTGTCATCAGTTGTTTTATCTGCTTGGATATAACTAAAATGTTATTTAATAATTAAATACAAAAGTTCATTGTATTTCTCAATGCTTCTTTTATTTAAAAGGTATATGTACATATATATATATATATGTATGTATATATATATATATATATATATATTTTTTTTGTTTTTGTGATAGATTTTTATAGAATAAAATATAGATTAAAATCAAATATTATATGATACATAGTTTATAAAAATATGCATATTTTATTATTTTCATAGAATTTAGCGCTTAATCTGACAGACATTTGTTGGGAAACCTGCATTGATCGTCCTGCACCACGATTGGAAGCCAAGATAGAAAAATGCCTTATGAACTGTGTTGAACGTTTCATTGACACAACTAATTTCATTACAAATAGATGGGAACGCATTGCTTTAAATAAAAGTTCTGATATTGATTTGAAATAGATTATCTGATATTGATTAGAATAAATAAGAAATTATACAGTTTACAAATGAATATAATTACCATATTTGTTTGATTAAACAATTAATCAAGTGTCACATTTTTAAGAACTATATCATAAAGATTATAATTAAAAAAATTTCAATGACAGTATGTTTTCAAAAGTGAGAGAACTTTTTGGTCGTCATAAACGGAAGTTTATATATGGGGGTATCGTTATTGGAGGTTTTATTTTCTTATCGCGTTATACCCAAAGGAAAATCCGAGAATGGCAGGAAAAGGAGATCAAAGAGATGTTGGAGAAGACCCGACGACGTCAATATTTTGAAAGTACAGAAAGAACATGTAATCAAATGATTCTTCCTCTTGCATCTAATTTAAGAGAATCTGTAACAAAAGCTTTGGATACTACTTCTATAGTGAACAAACTCAGGAGTGGTTGCGATGACAAAGTAGCATCATGGAATGAACTTAAAGTTTTAGCAATTTCAAGATCAGCTGCTATTATCTATTCTCATGTTATGCTTGTAGTACTTATTAGAATTCAATTTAATATAATGGCAGGCCATATGTATAAAGAATCCCAGAAACTAACGGATAATATCAAAGAGAACGATGAATTGCAAACACAATATATGTCCTTATGTGGTCATTTCATATATGAAGGCATACAACAATTGTGCAATATTATAAAAGAAAAAGTCACTGAAATAACAACATCTATATCTTTAATAGATAAATTATCATTGAGAGATTTGGAACAAATATATTGGTCCGTTGTGTCCTCTGTAACTGCAGATGATAGAAATCCAACGAAAAATCTTTCAAAATATATGCTACCATCACAGTGCGAAGAAAAAATGAATGGATCTCTATCGAACATCATTTATGAGACTTTAGATCTATTGGAAAGCGAAGAAATACAAGGATTTATGCAAAGTAATATTCGAAGTGGTTTCGTCTTACTAATGGATCATATATCAGAATTTTTTAATGCTAAAACAAGTAATGATAAGGATACGAGAAATGGCGTATCAATACCAGGGACCTCGAATCATAAAGATATACTTTGGACAGATTCTGTTATCACAAAGATTTCAAAACATTCAGATTTTGTGGATATAAATAAGATCACTATGCCTATGGCTAAAATAATTCCAATAATAAATGGACAAATTCCAGATCAATCTAAGCCTAGGGATGTATCTACAGTATGGCTGCAGCGTCTTATTTTAAATGATGAACTTAAATTATTTGGGGCTAATATCTATGAAGCATTTAGTTTTTAAGATAAAATATATTATAGAAAAATAATTACACTGAATTATCTATACCAGCACATGTTCACTTGCAATAAATATATATTGCATATATATATGTGCTGTATATTATATATATATATATATATATATATATATATATATATATAATTATATATATAATAATATAAATATTATTTATATTATATATTAATATATATAATATAAATATTAATATATATATATATATATATATATATAAAATGTTACACAAAATTTCCAAATAACATATAAATAAAAACTAATCATTCTATCTGTTTAATTTTATGTACGGTCATGTCTCTGGTATATTATTAAGTTTATTTTCGTTAATAAATGCAATTGTATAAAGATAAAAATCTAATATTTCTTTATCTCAGATAACGTATTCCCATAGTAACGTATTCCCATAGTATATATATATATATATATGTATATACATATATATATATACATATATATATATGTATATACATATATATACATACATATATATACATATATATATATATATATGCTTATTCACAATGTGTGCGAGTAAGTGCAACCCTGCGCATGCGCCAGAAAAAGAAATATTACAGCGAGTTGACTAATCAGGATAGTCCGTGGTTGTTGATAGACTTGAAGAGAAGCTCGCGCGTGCGAGAGAAATAAAAAGATCGAGCATTGCCGCGTTTATACGCGTTATGATTATTACAAATAAATACGTATAATACATTATACTATATTTGTAAATGTGTGATTTCAACTTTCTTTACAACGGCGATCAATTAATTAACGCAGTGATCATTTTTATATACAACGGGGTGTAAATTTATGTTTGACGCATTACATGGACTACTAGATTGAGGAAATCTAAAGAAATTAATTCGACATCATTTTCATCAGAATTTTTCGTAAGTTCTTAATAACAAATAATAATATATAATTTCTATATTTTCAATCAAGCCTTTTATGTTGTCATAAACATTTCGAGACATTACACATGTACATAGTATGTACATAGTGGAAACAATACTAACTTCTATACATATGTAGACACATGTGTGTGTTTATATATTCTAAATGTGATCATTCAGTATCACTATACATAAACAATAAAAAATAATTAAAATATAAGTTATTGAAGTATAAATAATGATGTATTTCAAAATCGGAATAAAATGAATTTATGTAATATATTATGTATAGTTACAATGTATCTTTGAACACAGTATTATTATTATTATTATTATTATTATTATTATTATTATTATTATTATTATTATTATTATTATTATTATTATTATTATTATTATTATTATTATTATTATTATTATTATTATTATTATTATTATTATTATTATTATTATTATTATTATTATTATTATTATTTTTATTTTTATTTTTATTTTTATTACTGGTATTACTGTTATTATTATCATCATCATTATTATTATTATTATTATTATTATTATTATTATTATTATTATTATTATTATTATTATTATTATTATTATTATTATTGTACTTTTCCTCATTTCTTCATGTCATGTATTCACTATTCCTTGTGTACTGTTATTTACACCCTATGAAACTCAAAATATATATATGTATGTAATTTTTCGTTTATACACGTGGCTATAGCAGTGCAATGACCTCCAAACGTATTGCCGTCTCTACAGAGGTTTTTTTCGGCAATGGATGACTCGAGGGAGAAAAAAAGGGAGGGGGAAATGCACGTGCCTCGCTTTATGCCCTTCTCTCTTTCTCTTTCTCTCTATATTTCCTGTGTTTGACATTTTCTTACAATATAAACAAAATAAAAGAAATCAAATATTAAGGATATACGATTAAATGAATATTTAAATATACAAAAATGAAAAATCAATAGTGAAATATAATTGTTTCCATTAAAATGATATAACGTTTGGAAATTTTATAAAAATTTGTATATTCTAACCTCCACGTTATAAAAACGAAAAAAAAAGAAAGAAAACCGTTCCATTGAAAACAATGATTTCATCTGCGTTAAAAATTCATATATATATATATATATATATATATATATATATATATATATATGTGAATCCTGGGATACTCAATTTACATGATAAAGTTTGTTAGAACTTCCGTTAAATAGATATGTATACATATATATCTATATATATATATATATATATACATATGCACATATATATAGATTCTCGATAGGATGTAAAATAGCTTTCGAATGAAAGGAATAAAAGCAAACAGAGAATTATATATTGTGAAAGATAAAAATAAAAATATGCCTCATGCTGACGCAATATTGAAGAAAACACGTGTATGAACATGTGGTTGATATATGAAATATATAATTCTGTATTTAAGGCTCACTGAGATTTAATAGTTAATACGTAATAATTTATTATATAGTGGTTAAGATAATAATTATACGTATATACTCTATAAATTTTATAATACATAATTGATTGAACTTATGATTTTAACTATTGTAGCGTAATAAAGTTCAAATAGAATATGCATAACAGTATCTCGATAAGATGTCTACCACGTGAGGGAGGAAGCACATTGCCTTTTTAATTCTCCGTTACGTAGACAGTTCTCTCTCTCTCTTTCTCTCTTTCTCTCTCTCTCTCTCTCTCTCTCTCTCTCTCTCTCTCTCTCTCTCTTTCTCTTTCTCTCTCTTTTTCTCTGTACTTAACGAAATTAAAAAGAAAAAAAAAAAAGAATAGAACGTGTGGCTGCACACCGTATGTGCGATATCCAGATGAGTTTTGTATTGCATCACGTTGACACAATTTATAATTACACGCGTTCTGACACGTGCTCTCTCTTTTTCTCTCTCTATCTATCTATCTATCTATCTATCTATCTCTCCCTTTGATCTTAACTTCTATGAGAACGTAACCTATAATATAGTATCATGTAATATATCGAATAAGATGAAGATATTTCATTGTATTTTGTATCTTTGCTAACATTATGAAATCTATGTGCAATTATACGTCTAACATATATTACGAATTAAGTTGAAATTGCTTTTAAAGCTGTTGATGATGATGATGATGATAATGATGATAATGATCATGACAATGATGATGATAATAGTAATAATAATAATATTAAATACAATCCTAATAAAAATAACAATAATAATAATAATAATAATAATAATAATAATAATAATAATAATAATAATAAATATAATCAGTATGTGTATTTATAAACGTTATGAAATTTTATAAAATTAATAAATAACACGTGTAATAAAAATTAAACGTTTAAAAAGTGTATCTGATGCACGTCTAAAAAATGATATATATATATATATATATATGTACGTATCCACGGTGAGACTATACTTGGAGATAAAAAAAAAAAAGAGAAAGAGAAAACTTGTCTTCTTTTTCTCTTTTTTTTTCCCCTAACGATACCTTTCTATATTCCACAGCTGCATTTATTTATATGTATTTGTATATATGTACATGTGTATGTACTCTTTGTTGCTGACAGTCGCGTGCATGCGCACGCTTCACTGGCACGTGTATTTCTAGGTTGGTCGAAGCAATGAAATAATATCTTGGCTCTATAATCTCGCACGTGTAACACGCGTTAGCAACTTTAATTCTAATCAGGTTTTCCAATTTGATTAGACATTCTGGAAATATTTTTTTCCTTTACATTTTTTTCCTCCTTTTAAAATTGTTTAATACTCGAAGTAAAATTGACACCGTGTGATTATAGAAACATTAAAAATTATTTGTAATTCATAGATTTTTTTCATGTCTGGTGTTATATATATATATATATATATAAAATTATTAACAATATAATGTGTTATAAATTAAAAATAATTTCTAATCTCCTTTTTCTTTCTCCTCTATATAATATAATACGATGCGAAAGAGAAAAATTTTTTGTGATTTATAAATGTTCTTTTTTTTTTTCTTTTTTTTTTCTTATGAACGATATAATTATGTAATGTATTAGAGAAACTATTTATAATTTATACATTTTTATCTCTCTCTTCTCTTTTTCCGTATAGAATTATAAATAACTATGGCTCCGACGGTATGCTTACCGGAATTGTCAGTTGTAAGAAGTACAGAAAATCTTTATACACGCCGACGACAAAGGGTCTGTCGTGTTATCAAAGGAAAACAACAGAGACTGGAATTAAGGCGATTAACCAATGTCGTCGACACTGACGTTGAAGAATCTGTAACATCTTCGCCCATGAAGAATTCTTCGTATGAAGATAATAATTCACACGAGTCCGTTGACATAAATATTTCATCGTCGAATGTTTCAACAAAAATTTCGGAAAAATTGATGGAACATTGTAATGTAATATTTCCCAGACGTGAAGGTAATTAAAATATAACTTATGTTATTGTATCCATCCTATTTACTGATATTATTAAATTTGTATAGGTGGACCAAAAGTTCTTAGATTGCTTTGAAAATTAATTTATTCTTTTTCGAGATTCTTTCTAGTTTAATTTTCTTGTTTTTCTTTTTGTTTTTCCTTTTTTTCTTCCCCTCATATTATAAATTAATTTGAAAAATTAATTACAAGTCTAACATAAAATCTTTTTTAAAAAAACTAGAAACTTTTGGATTTCGTCCCCTATATATATATATATAGTTATTGATCATTTATATATGCAAGTTTTTCTTTCTTTTTTTTTTTTTTTTTTTAATTATTAATTAGGTTTATTCAGTATCGTGGTACGTACTTTGGCTCTCGTACGACGAAATCGTATTCTTCAAGAACGAGTTAATGCCTTACGTGCAGAGACACACGATTTTATTCGATCGGTCTTAAATAACCCGCAAAATAAGTGCAGGCAACAAGAAGATACGATAACAACAACAAGTCGTTGCAAAGATGCGATAGTTTCGTCCTCTACCGAAAGAATTGTCTTGAAGCCAACATTATCGCATGCCCCAGATTCAAGGAATTCTTCACCGGATATTGTTACGTCCACGTGTCAGAGTCCTTGGGAAAACGAGGATTAATTTAATCTTCAAGACTTCTACGAATATATATATATATATATATATATATATATATATATATGTATATGTATATGTATATGCATATTACATTATTTAACGCTTATCTCTTTATTGAAGATAATGAAAAAAAGGAGGTTAGGAGTATTTATTAATTAATTATGCATAAGTCGTTCAATAGAGCAAGAATACAATTAAAAAAAAGAAAAAAAAAGAAAAAAAAAAGAAAAAAAGTTTTTTTTCTCACATTAATCATTTCTTTAATTAAAAGTCATAATCATAATTTTGTTTGTTACTGTACCTTGTGAAATGACGCTTAGCAGCTTAAAATATTTTTTTTCGCTGGAATTCTCTATTCGATTTGAAAATATCAATATATATATATAAAAATAGTGTATATATATATATATATATACACTTAGTATTAATATTATATTAAAGATTATTTTGTAGATATTTTGCAAGTAGAAATGATATTTATTTATTATAATAAAATTAAGAAGCAATGCTTTAATATTTCGTATATGTGTATTATTTTGTTCAATTATTCATTGATATAATTTATATAGTATTTGATAATAGAGATACGGTATTGAAAAGTAATATTGAGAGAAATATGTGATAAAACTTTTGTATTCATTATCTGTTCAATCAAATTGAATATAAATTTTATACCTAATAATGTATACACTGTCTCCTATAATATAATTATGGCAATATCAATCGATATGATTCACTTTTTCTTGTGCTATATTCAATTTGAACATTCTTTAAAAAGAAATATAATGAATGAATGTAAGTTTTGATGGTTTGTAAAATAATATAATAGTAAGAATATAGCTCCTTTATATATATGACAATTTTTTATATTTTTTATTGTCATATATAACGTCTTCTTAGTGTAGTTGCTAATTAGTCTCATTAATTTATAGAGCTTTAACTTTGACATATTATGAACTTTAAAACTCTACTTTTATATATATATATATAGATATATATACTGTCTTTTTATAACACATTTTACAGATTTGCAGCAATAAAAATAGAATATAATGAATAAAAAAACCCCGTGTAAATTATACTTTCTCATACAATCACAATCTTCTTTAATTTTTTTTTTCTTTACATAAGGGAAATCTAAAGGGTCAGTAACCTTCTCAAATTAAACCTTTGAATTTGTAAAATTGAAAAAAAATTACAAAATTTAATTATATATATATGTGTGTGTGTATAAATATATATATATATACATATATATATATATACATATATATATTAATTATATATAATGTAAGTATATATTTATATACTTACATTAATATATTTGACAACAGTTGAAATATCTGAAAATGATTTTTGATTAATAAGATACATAGTTTAAGATATAATTTTATCATTTGTTTTTATTAACTTGCAAAATTATCTTATTTTTCTACTCATGCACAGATAAAATATATAAATAAAAATGTAAATAAATGTTAAACATAAGTTTATAATCGAGGCTTCTAATCACGCGTGTGAATTTCAACTTTGTTTGAATTATGCCAATGAATTATTATTGTTTTTTTTTTTATTAACCTTCCGTTACTCGTATGGGATATCATTTTAATATACATATTTTTTAATAATTTATAAAGCTTTTATAAATATTTATCAAATTATAGCAGTACATCTGATTATTACAATTTTTTTGCAGTAACGTTTTATTGACCCAAGTGTTGTGTTAATTATTTTCTAACTAGAGCTTAAAAGACACGTGGAATGTTACTGTGAGATATTGAAAGGGTAGATACGTAATTTCAATCGATACAAAGTTATAAATATGAAAATCTGCATTATATGTATACCTGCATATATATATATGCCTGATGCGAGTAACGAAGGGATAAATTGACTATCATCTGCAGCGCATTAGCATGGAAACATAAATCCGTAGCACGGTGTAAATATTTCATATTAGAACATAGAATAAACCTACCATTAGAATAATGAATGAATATAACAATAAAGAGTATTGTCAAATGTAAACATATATATAATTTATGACGTTTTTTCTTTCAATGACTCTTTTTTCTCAACAGTAACTTAATTTGAACATGATGTTAAAAGGGTGACATATAGAGAAGTATGTGTAGATAATATATATATATATGTATATATATATATATATATATATATATACATATATACATATATACATATATATATATAGTAAAAACCATAACGACTTATAAAAGATGTAATTAAACAAACTTGATATAGTTATATCTTTGGATAGTCAACAAAAGCAACTCCCTTTGCAGATGGTATTTCTGCGTAACAGGGAAGCACCAAATAGATCAAATAAATTCTACGTAAGGTGCTGACCTTTGTAAAATAAGTTCGTAAAATATATAAAGCATTCTTACAACGTGAATAAAAAAGAAAAGAAAAAGAAATCACTAGAATTTTCTTATACCTTATTTGAGAGCCATGTAAAATAGAATTATAACGAACAGTATCATGCCAGTAGTTGATAAAACTATACAATATAGTAATGATGTAAATAAATTTGGATATAATTAACTCATGTAAATAGAGAATAACAGAGTAACAGGTACATAATTAACAAGAACAATAAAAGTCATATCTATCAACTATTGGTATTGAAGTACTGCCCTTACATATCCTACATAAAATTCTATTAACAATACAGAACTTTACATACAATTCATTTTGCATAATTTAGCTCCGTTTGGTTTAAAACAAATAATATAATACACCTTAAGATTATTATATTGACATGTGCCACAAAGGTATATAAGTTGCAGCACACACGTGGACTAGAGTAACATTTTACGCAATTAATTAAAGTATACTTGGAGACAAAAGTAATATGTACAATCCTGCAGTCTTTGTAACGCAAACTATGGAATACCTTGGTCTCCTATGGCAAAATACTTTATATTTAAAAACTGTACTAAAAATACTTTTGACGCAATGACTTTCACGGAAGTTTTATATTTGAAACTTTGAGATTTTCAACTCCTTTTTCTCTTTTAATTGTTACTAAAAATATAGCTTACATCCAGTTTTTTTGTCGATCTTTATTTTTTATTTATTTATTTATTTATTTTTTTTTTTTTTTTTCAAAAGACATTTTCATTATAGGTGTGTAGGTGTGTCTTTCTGTCTTTCACCTAGAATTAAATGATCTTTGAGCAGGAAGAAAATGACATCAATGTATGATTCGTACTTACAATGTTCTACTTTACGTGTACGAAATACTTATGAGAAAATAACTTTCCATTTTTAATGTTCAAGTTAAGCGAAACGTGTCACATCTTTGGCTTATTCATCTTCTTGCAGCAGTACTATGAGATATAGTAATTTTTCCTTGAACAACACGGCATCCGCTTGCGTGCGCGCGTGTGTTTCCGTGTTTGTATGTAAAAGATAAAAATATGAAGTAAAAATACTACCCTATTTGAGCATTTCACAAATAAACATCTATTTATTATACGTAATACAGTAGAGTGTGAATTTAAACCTTCACGATTTAATAAATATGATATGTTTCATAGGAAAACAATTCGCTCTCATAAAAAGTAGATATATATACGAATGAGTAGAAAAAGATTCAAAAAGTTACAGATAAAGTCATTTGTTTAATGCAACAGGGTAGCATAAACTTTATATGATGATCTTCGATTTTATAAAGCAGATAATCTTTTCGTTGAAGAATTCCACGAGAAAAAGAAAGAACAAAAAAAAAGAAAAAACAAGAAACTTAAAAGAAAATATTAACAAATATATTTTGCTGCAACAAATGCACTCTTGTCTATTGCATTTCATGACGCTATTTGTGGAGGAAGGTAATGAGCTTCGTCTTCACTTATAAATTAAATAATGGTTAAATAATGTTAGAAATAAATTGTTAAATTCTTTTAAGCATGTTTTTTCGAATATTTGAAGAAGTAATTATTACGAATGACTATATTTTTTCTTTTCTGTGAAATCCATTCTGATATCTCTTGTTATAGATATGATCTTTATTATAAGTAAAAACATTCGATTAATTCACGAACATCTTGCTACTTATTCGTGTCACATATTTATTCCTATCATAATTTATCATCTTCTTTGTGTTTAAACTCTAAAATACATTATATTTTTTTTTTTTATAAGGATGTTATTTTATAAATAACACTTTTGTGTGATATGATAATATATAATTTTGGAATATATAGAAGAAAATGTTAAAATTGATAGGAAAATAATTCCTTCCTCCTCTTGAACGCTGAAACATTATATCGTACTAATAAAATTAGATTAGCATCGATATAAAAGGAGAGATACCATTTATAAATATTTATATAATCAGGATATATAAATATTAATTGTTATGAAGGGTTTTCAATGTTTTATAAGATAATAAATGGCAAAAGAGAGAGTTGCCAATATCATTTGATGACAACGATATTTTTTTCTTGTAAATCATTTCCGATTAATGCAGTCCCCAAAAGATAATCGATATACTAATTCAAATATAAATGTTTTTCCAATTAATTAATCATCATCATTTATATATTTATTTATATTAACTATATAGAAAGTTCGATAAATACTTTACAAAAAGCGATGAAAAGAATTAAATGAAATAATCAAATATAATAGTACTAGCAAATTAAGCACTATTCAAAACAATAAATCTGTAAAATAGTATATAGACTGCAGCAATTGGAAAAATTCTGCACATTTAAAATTGTCTCTCCATGATAAATAAAAAATTAAAATCAATAATTTTTTTTGCGTCTATTTACAACCTGAAGTACACAAAGTATGTTCTGCATGTTGAACAATAATAATGTATCACATGGCCAAGCAACGACCAAATTTAATTATCCTTTTTGAAGTTGTGAATCAATTCGGTGTTATGAGGGACACAACGAGAAATTATGTGTCTATATACAATGAATGAATATTATTAGCATGTGATATAAATTACTAGCACTCGATATAAAATTTGTGATTAAGGGTAATTCAGCTTAAATATGTCTTATGTAAATTAAATAATTATTTATATCGTGTAAATCGACGAAGTTTTCTAATATGATTTATTTATTTTTTTTATTTTTTATTTATTTATTTTTTTTTTTTATTTTTTTTTATTGCACATTGGAATGAGCGTCATCTATTTAATTACACCCACCGAATTGATACATGACTCGGTAATTTTCTCAAC